TCAAACCAAAGGATTTCAAGGGGACAGAGGTGACTCCCCCAAAAGTGCATTGGGCAGGGGGTGTGGACCCCAAACCTCCCCTCCCTGCAGGAGCTGGCTTCCCAGAGCAAGGCAGGCCCTGGCTGGAGAACAGGGGCAGCCCCCGCTCCCCAAAAGACAAGGGGAGGACTCAGAGGGGAGTGAGACGTTCCCCCCATCCCGTCGTGACCTCTGGCACCCACGGAGCCTGCTAAGAATAGCGCCTGCCCGAGGGGTTCGCCCGCCACAATGGGGGCCCTGTCTGGCCTCGGTGGCTTTGGGAGTGTCACAGCGCAGGAATTCTCCGGCGTCAGGGGGAAAATATGTCCCTAAAAGCAGATGAGAGAGCTGGAACCTCCTCCGATGGCACCCCTGGGTGTCCCGAGAGCCAAGGGCTTGATGCCACAACACCCCTGTGCCATTATCCCAAGATCAGAACTGCAGGTCCCCTACCAGCTCCCAGCACAGTGGCTCTGGAGAGGTTTGAAACCCAAATCTGCATGAAGGCCACTTTCACCGCGATGGCGGCACCACGCAGGAGGGCACAGCCCGAAACACGTCATCCCCACTCTCTCTGGAGACAGTTTCACACCCCCGCCCCTCTCAACGGCCTCTGTTTTGTTTGCCTTCTCTCAAACAAGAAGAGAAGAAGAAAAAAACCCTACCGAAATAAAAAAGAAGCGGCGCACCTATGCTCTGCACCTTGTGGTTTGTGGTTCCAACCCAACACAACAACTGGGCATAGCAACGGCTCCAAAACAGCCCTCGCCTCACGCGCCCGCCCTGCCCAAGCCCTCTTCGATGGCACTGTGGCACCCAAGGTCCCCGATTTCTCCCCCACCACATTTGGGGGACGGCAAATTTGCCCCCATCGCTCTTTGGCTGGACCAAGCCCAACTGCCTTGCCCAGTCCGGCCCAGGTGGTGACAGCACCGCAAAGGTTTTGCATGGGTGGGAGGGCGTTTTGGATGGGAGCATCTCCAAAAAGCAGGTGTGAAGGACCCAGAAAGCACCTTCCTTCGGAAGCCATGTGCTTTTGGCCATGTTTAGAGGCAGGAGAGCGGCCACATGGGCCACCTTGGACCAGTTTGGCTTTCCCAGTGCATCTCCTCTGTTTCAAGGAAGCACCTGCTGGGACGACTGGTCCCACTCCCAAAGCACAGGAGGTTTTGTGAGCTTCACATCTTGCCCTGGAGGTGGTCCTGCAAGCCAGGAGCTGGCGTGCTCCCTGCTCGAAGGAGGGACCAAGCCACATTTGCGGCTTGGCCACCGCCTCGGGTGAGAGCTGAGCCGCTGCTACGGTTGGGCAGCGTTGCGTGGGGCTGATTTCACTGCCGTTTGCACATGACTGGCAGGTGGAGCAGCCCCAGGCCCCACACTGGAGCTCCCCACCTTGCAGAGGCTAAAAGGACCCTGCACCGGGGGCAGAAATCGGGTAGGAGGTGGATTTTTGGATGCCGATGACCACAGGGAGGTTGATGGTGGAAGCTTCATGCCAGCAGCACGACAAGAAGAAGAGGGGAAGCAGCACATGAGGTCTCTTGAAAGAGCCCCAACTTTCTTTGGGACCGACCTGGCTTTCTTGCAAAACAGCAGCTGCATGCTTTCACTTCTGTGTCACAGATAAGCATCGCTCCGCAGCAGGGGCTGGTCAGAGGCTGCAGGCTCTGCAGCGCAGCCAATTCAGACGGGGCAGAGGGGGTTTAGCAGACAAATTTGGGCTCCTATCGACATGGTCCTGCGATTGCTGATAGTGAAGATCTGGGGGCAAAACCGTTTGGGACAGAAGCGCTCCTGGGTGCTGGGGTGAGATAGCATCTGAGAGAGGTCAGCTATTCCCTGCTGCTTTCTGCCTTGTTTAAGGCAGATAATGAAGATAGCATCAATTTGTCATGAAGAGAGACACTCAGGTCATGTGTGATAGGAGCTGGGAAGGGGGCATTAACCCTTGAGGTGCTGAGATTGCATGTAAAGGCATCAACAACTTCTTAACCCGGTCTGTAAGAAAGGGCAGCATCACAAGTGCAAAATCATCCTTGAAAGTGAGGGATTGAGGTTTCTTGTCCCTTTTTTTGTCCATTTAATCTCTCAGAC